CCATGTTAACTCTACTATAAGCTAAGTTTTTCAATTAGCCTTTTTAAATTTCAGTGTAGTATCAAATAAAAAAATTGTAAAAAACGAGAGTTATATATATTTCAATATATTTTGGATGGAGTAATAACCCCAATAAAAAATTATTTAGCATTTTAAATAATAATATAAATGAGATTTTATTTAATAGTTTAAGTTTTAAAATTAAAATATTTTTTTTATTATGATATCAGAACTTTATTAATCAAATAGTCATAAGTTTAAATCTAACAACTCTTATTTTATTTAATAAAAATTAAATACAAGATAGTGTGGATTAATTTTTGAAAACTTTAAGTTTAAAAATCTTTCAATTAAAAGAATATGTTAAAAAATAATATAAATTATATTTTAAAATTTCACACTTTTAAATTAAAAAGTTTTTTTATACTAGATCCATTGAATTAAAAAGTTTCTTTGACATGAAATACATAACCAAGCTCTAAGTATTAATGTCATGGAGATTATGAAGGCGATTTAATTTTATTGGTGGCTATTACCTTTAATTTCATCTTTTAAAAAAAGAATTTGATCCGTTATTATCAAATAAATATGATACATAGTATGTGCTTAAACTTCCATGTATCAATAAGCATTTATTCTTAAATTGTTATGCTTAGATTGTATAATTTGTTTCTCAACATTATCACTAAGAGTTTGAAATATACACACACACACACAAATAATGTTCTTTTTAAAAGAAAATACTAGAAATAATTTATTTAAAATCTAAATAAAAAATAATTTAGTTTCAAAACTAAAATAATAATTTAAAAAATATATTATTTTATTTTTTATATCAAAATATAAAAATTATTCAAAAACAAAAGCTACTGTGAAAACAAACATGTACACAGAAATAACATGAAAGAACAACATTAGTCATGTAATTAAGTAGATTAAGAGGGGGGTAGCGTAATCAACAAGCCCATATATATATCAAGTTTTAAACGGCCATGATTAAGACATTAGAGATGAGAGCATTGAATTTTAACAGGACTGATCATGAACTAGTTGAATGAATCTTGAACCATTTCCCTCACGCCCTAACATCATGTTGAGCACTTTGTGGACAACGTTTCCCGTTAATCAATTTGCATGGGCAACGTTGCCTTGATAATTCCGATGATTCATCAATATCAAATTGATTGCTCATGCTATGTCACCTTCAGTGTGCCTGTTCTCTCACCATTAATTAACATTTGGTTACATTCAACAGATCTAGAGATCGTTCATTTTAGACCCATCGAGTTCAACTAGTCTTTCACCTTAAAGCTTACAAAGCTGCCTCTTATCCTGCAGGCAGGGGCCAGTAGCTGAATTTATGTTCAAGGTTCTGAGAAAAAAAAAGAAGAAGAAGAAGAAGAAAAAAAGTGAGTTGAGTCTTAATATTTTATAATTTTATGAATTAATATATATTTAACATGTCAAAATTAAAATTTAAAAATTAATAAACTTGGTCAAATGCGTTCAAATTCAGTAAAATTGAATTGATTTTACTAGTTTTTAAAAAATATAAATTATTATGGTAATTTTGTATCTTAATATTTTTATTGTTTTAAATTTATATCTTGCAAAACTTGATTTTGACTATAATTATTATAATTTTTTTAACTATATAAGTTATTTATAGATTTCATTTCCGTAAAATTAAAATACATATTTATTTTTCACAATTTTTTATGTAAACTATTAACATATTAATTGATATATTACTTTGTTTTAACTAGCAAATATATTGAATAAAAATTATAAATTGGTATACTTGACCCTTGCGGTCTATCAAAATTTTAAGGGATTTATTTTTTGTAAATGATGAAATAAGTAGGCTGATATGTCCAAGAGAAATTAGTACGAAAAAAGTAAAGGTGTTTGATTATATATTTAACATGTCAAAATTAAAATTTTAAAATTAATAAACTTGATCAAATGCGTTCAAATTCAGTAAAATCGAATTGATTTTACTAGTTTAAAAAAAATATAAAATTATTATGGTAATTTTGTATCTTAATATTTTTATTGTTTTAAATTTATATCTTGCAAAACTTGATTTTGACTATAATTATTATAATTTTTTTAATGATATAAGTTATTTATAGATTTCATTTCCGTAAAATCAAAATACATATTTATTCTTCACAATTTTTTATGTAAACTATTAACATATTAATTGATATATTACTTTGTTTTAACTAGCAAATATATTGAATAAAAATTATAAATTGGTATACTTGACCCTTGCGGTCTATCAAAATTTTAAGGGATTTATTTTTTATAAATGATGAAGTAAGTAGGCTGATATGTCCAAGAAGTAGAGAAATCAGTATGAAGAAAGTAAAGGTATTTGAATTTTTTTATTGTTTATTTTAATTGAGTTATATTGTTAATTATTATTGGATTGAAATTATTAATATAAAATTTGTTAAAATATATTACTTATAATTTTATAATTTGAATTTATTATTTAAGTTTATATGATATATTTTGTACCGTGTAAAAAAAATATTTTTAACAATTTTATTTCTGCCCCTGCTGTTGGAAATTTATTAGGATATATTTAAAAATAACGTAAACTAATAAGGGCTATAGAGTATAGTTAATTATTTGAGGATGCAAAGTGTAGATATTTTCAAAAACATGCCTTCAATTGAAGGGTATATTTAAAGATTATGTACGTCTAGGATTAATACAAGAACATTATCCAATTTTGGGGATGCCATGGTCCCTCCTGAGTCCTGGGGTTGAAAAACGTGGTAAGGAAATTCATTCTATTTTTATTTTAGTATCGCCTTGTACATGGTGAATAAATTATTATTTAGTCTCTTTTTTATAATTTTTCATGAAAACCATAAGATAGTTCCGGAGATGACTGTTTACTTTTTTTAAAGTCCAAACTGCCCTTTTAAAATTCTCTTTTGGTTTCGTTTTTAGGAGGAAAAATTGAGAATTTTAACTAGAAAATATTAGAAATTGAAGATAAAACTAAATTGTAACTAATAAATGAATACCCTTCAATGTTATTATTATTATTTTTAATATTAAAACGGCTAATATTTTATATTATTTTTTATATATTTAAAAAAAACTGAGTAGATTAATGTGAAAATGTTGAACCAAATTCTAGATTTTCGATAGTTCTTCTTCCAGAGGGTCTTTCGGCTTTTCTGGGAGATGTACAGTAGAAACTCGCCTTTCCACAAAATAAAAGTTAAAACACATAATTGAACATCAATATTGTGAAGGCATGAGTGAAGAAGACGGGAGAGAGAACAGTGGAGGTACGATGTAGACTGTTAATACAGTGAAAGTGCTTTGACGTTTTCATTTGCAAAAGCTTACGCGAGTACCCTGTCCTGTGCCCTTGATTTATGTGTTCCAAGTCCATGTACACCGTCAATTCTCTAGCATTCAAACAGCATGTCTTGTGCCTGAATTTCTTTGCCTGATATGATATTTGAACGACAGGCTGCATGCACCTTGCGACTAATTAATGGATCAAGTTGCTAATTTAGTTAACAGGCCCCCCCCACCCCCCCTAATGCTGTGAGAATTCAAGAGAAAATCTGGTAAACTCTGCGTGTAGTTCCTCGGACACGGTCCTGATGTGCCGATATATTCCTGAATTGTGAGTCCGAATCAAGGGCATGTTCTGATGCGGTAATTCTGGATGCGGCAACATCTTTAATCCCTTTTAGTATTGGTTTTTTTTTTTTTTCCCTGCTGCTGCTACTTATTCTTTTTGTTGTAGTTGCTTATTCACAAAAATCTTCTTGAGAATGACTAAATTCCAGGTTTTGTTTTCTTATTCTTATCATTTTTTAATAATTAAGACTAAATCTAATAAATAAAAAGGTTAGAAAATAATAAAATTAAAAAAAAATCTAATTTCATAAATTTTTTCAAATAAATTAATAATAATTAAAATAATAAAGACTAAATCTGACAGATAAAAAAATTAAAAATTAATTTTATGAATTATTTTAAATAAAATAAATATAATAAAAAAATAAAGATTAAATCTGATAGATAAAGAAATTTAATTACAAAAAATAAGAGAAAAAAATAAAGATCAAATCTGATAGATAAATAAATTTAATTAAAAAAATAAGAGAAAAAAAATAATAATTAAAAAAATGATGACCAAAAGTTTATATAAAAATTAAATTTTAATAGAAAAAATTAAAGAGAAAAAAAGATTCAAAACAGCATATATAACAATTAAAAAATTAAGAATCAAATTTAACATAATCAATAAATAACAAGATTTTTTTGAGTTTTTTTAAAAATATTTTCTGCAGAAAATAAATAAAAAAGTATTTTATTAAAAATCAGACTAAATCTACTTTTGATTGAAAAGTATTATTAATTAATTATTTTTTTAATAGTAAATAAATATTAAAAAATAAAAAATAATTTTTAGAAAATCACAACGAAATGAAAAAAACGAGGAATTATAACCAAACCAGCTTCCATCCTTTGGAAAGATCCCTCTAGCTTTATGTGGGTGGCTCTTTCCTGGTTTTCACACACTAGCAGATAAACGCACTAGTGATTCTTTATTGCTTTTGTTTGGCTCTTTAGGCACATAAAGTGAATCCACCCACCACCATATCACAATCAAAGAGGTTAAGACATAGTGATATTTGGTGAAAATAGTTTCAAATGCTTTTTTCAACACCCAACATGATTGGATAGATTCGATTAATCACAAAAATTGCGTGTGATATGGTCCATTGAATTCAAATTAATAAAGGGTTTTTGTACCCCATACGAAAAAAACTAATAAAGGTTTTGATCAATCTTTTATGCATTGATTTCTGTCGTTAAATCCCTCCTTTCTTACTGCAAATCTTTATTTGTGATTTAAGGCATCAAGAGACATCAAAATTGACTAGCTTGTTCATCTGCGTGGCTCTATCCTGCTTTTCGGCTTCTGCTTAGCTTTACTTCTACAAATCGATAAATTTGTCAGATAAAAAGATAATCTTCTTAGAATGACACCTAAAGCACTAATTAAATACCATATCAACAGAACCATATGTTGGCTTTGGTTTTGTCTGCTGAACGAATGCAATCAAACATCACAAACACGACTTCAATCAAACTATCAAGATGAAGGGAACCCCCAGCCACTGCTTATGAATCTGTATCTATGCCATATATTTAAACCAATGGTGTTACACCAGCACGCGCCTAAAGGAATGAGAAGATGCTCTCCATAATTTTAGTCCTGCCAGGAATTATGTGCACGAGTGATGATCAGATGTGGTGCTTGAAAGCCAGTTCTGAGAATACACGGTGCTTGGAGGGGAGAGTTATGGAAGGAAAGGCAAACAACAGCTTGGGAAAGGAAAACCCACCATCCAATATGCAATATTTTTCCTTTCAAAGCCGTCAATTTTATGCAACCTTAAGTTCATCAAGATCAATCTTTCCTCATCTAGCCCACAACTTGCCGGACATCAGATAGTGGAGTTGGTAGAGCAGTCAATTCCAATAGTTGCCGGACATCAGATAACATTATGGAACAAGTAAATCCCTGGGCTAAACAAAATATCAAGAGCCATAGAGACAATTTTCACATTTCACACATATACACATGAACAAGCACAAACAGAAATTCATAGCTTGTGTATTTGCTAGGTCAGTCAATCCCAATAGTTGCCAGACGCCAAAGAGCGTGGGGAGCAAGTAAGTCCCAGGGTGAAACAAAATATCAAAATCTTCACATTGTTATATCCAATAATAACTAGGAGTACACAAGCCTGGTGCAATTTGACTCAGGGTCTTCTAGCAAAACAAAAACACAGGAATGACAATTCAGATAAAAAGTGTCATGCTTACCTTGTAGGGA